GAGAGAGAGAGAGAGAGAGAGAGAGAGAGAGAGAGAGACATGAAACAAAAATGGGACGACATCGGCGAGTGTTGCTGTGCGCCACGGCGTAGCCGTGGCTGGGTCCACTTGTTGTGCTTAAAAGAAAGGCGCTGAAAGGTATTGCAGTCACACTTGCCCAGGTTGGCGAGATGAGCACTGCGTGTCACAGGACACCATGATTTCCCTGTCTTGAACATTGGTTAGCATGACTGCAGGCGCCCAGGTGGATAATCAGTTAACACAAGGGTACCTGTTGCAGCTTCGCCCGCAAAACACGAAAAGAAAAAGCATAATGAACTGTCCCATAATCAGACAAAACCCGTTTGCAAGAAAACAGGCGGGCATACCACGGAACCGTTTTTTTGTTTTTACTGCGAGTTTTGTGTTTGGGCAGCTGTTACCTTTTCAGCATGTTTTTCTGTTTTCTGTTGTGTGCTACGACCCACAAAGCTTCGGTCTGAGATTGGTGCTCGTTTCCAAGAGACGGCTCTGCTAAAGATTCCGACTCTGAGTTTGCTTGCTGTTCTTGGTGAATATGTTTGTGACCAACCGATCTTGTATGTATGCCATGTGCTTACTTGTCGAGTTTTGACTCTGTCTGTGTGTGCAAGTGCATATGTGTGTCAGTCTCAGCTTGGTGCATGTGTGTCGTTCAATAACGCTTGACGATTGGCCCGGGGAAGTTGTCGGAGGTTGTCTTCAATAATAAGAGTGCCGTGATATTAAGCAGCTGCTGTAATGTATGATTAACATAATCAGCATCCAATCTGCTTGGCAGTTGCTGTTTGTGGGGGGAGTTCTTGAAAGTAACGTGTCATGTGAGCCATAATGCCGGGTGCAGTGGGCATGCATCCTGGAGCATTTCCTGGTTTGCAAAAGCCAAAGACAAAACCGAGCAGCACACATCAGCATCATATAATTAACACCCTGGAAGAATCTCTCTCTCTCTCTCTCTCTCTCTCTCTCTCTCTCTCTCTCTCTCTCTCTCTCTCTCTCTCTCTCTCTCTCTCTCCACCTTCGCTTGACATCTTCCCTTCCTCCGTACTCAAACCCACCTCTGCCCTCCTTCCTCCTTCCCTCCACCCTCTCTCCGCCAGGCTTCTCCCTCTGACCTTTCCCCCCTCCTTCCCTCCACCCTCTCCCTGCCAGACTTTTCCCTTCGGCCTTCCCCTTCCTCTC